CGCCTCGCGGCCACGCCCCCTCTCCCGATCACGCCCCCCTGAGCCCGGCCACGCCCCCCGCACCCGGCCACGCCCCCTGGGGCGCCGCTAGATTTAACCAAAACTGGGGGATTTGGCACCCGGGAGACGATGGGGCGGGAGGGGCGCTGGGCAGTGTCCCCCCCCACCACAGGTGTCTCCGTGCCCACGTGCTCCCTCCTGCCCTTAACACCCCCTTCTATTAAAGCACCCCCTTCTATTAAAGCACCCCCCTGTATTAAAGCACCCCCTTGTATTAAAGGCTGCCCGGTATGGCGGCGAGGCGCGGGCACGCGAGATGTCCGCACAGCACGTCCCAGCGGGGATGGGGACCAGGGGCTGTGGAGGCGCTGCGGACATGAAACGGGGCTGCACTGGAGGACAGAGAGCCCATTCCCTGCCCTGGTGCTGCTGTGGCCCGAAACAGGGCCCTAGAACCTCCCAACACGGGGGGTTTCCCTTCGTTTCATACCCATCAGGGCACATGTATTGCACACGCACAGCCAAGAGCACTGGGTAATTCCATTAATGTGCTCCCTACATCCCTAGGGAAGACGGGTGCCCTGCTGTAGGGGGGACAGGACGAAACGCAGCAGCCCCCAGAGCAGTGCCCAGCCAGCAGCCTCTTCCGTACAGCAAAACCCGGGAGCCAGCAGGGTGGTTTGGACCTGGGCTCAGCAGAGCGCTGCTTTTCATGCCGAACAGCATCCCGGGGCGTTTCCCTGCGGGATTTCAAGCTGGGTCCCAGCCCGCTGGAGAGGAAACCCTCTGATGTGGGAGAAGGGTCAAACGTTGCAACAGCAGCAAGGCGGGTTGGAGCCAAAGCAAACACGCAAAATCCCCAAGGAAAAGGATCCCCCCCGCCTATATTGGTGCAGGGCTGTGGGTGGAGGTGGCCGGGGAGACATCCCGTATCCACAGGGATCCCATAGTGAGGAAATGCGGGCTCAGTGGCTCCGGGGTTGCTTGAGGAAACGCAAGGCCCAGGAGGGCACAGGAGTGACTCGGTTTTCCTATCCTGGAAGGGAAAAAAGGGAAGCTATCAGGTGATCGGCTGCCGTCTATAAATATGCCTGGGGAATGAGTAAACATCGTGGAGAGAAAAAAAACAGAGCGAAGCTGAAGGAAGCTCTGGCACAAACCCACGTTTGCTCCAAGGGGCCAGCGAGGAGCCGAGGTCGAAGCTCCCGTTGGCAGCAGGGAGGGTCACGGCAGGGCCCTCGCTCCAAACAGGGCTCCAAAGGAGGGGGACGATACGGCAGGGACGGAGCCCAGATATCCACAGGGGACGGCCCTGTTCCCGTGGACAGGAGTGTCCTGGGAGGCTCCAGCTGCCCCTGGAAAGCAGAAGCGCAGCACCAACAGGCACGTGTTTCGGAGCCGGGAAAGCGCCGGTGCACACGGGGCGAGCAGCGCACGTGACAGCGCTGCTGGCCAAGGCGGCTCTGCCCGCGCGCTCAAAATACCCGGCTGATTAGAAAGGGGAAAAAAAAGAGCTGCTTGCAAACAACATGTGGAAACGTTCCCGCCGCTGCAATAAAATCGCTTCAAAACAAAAAATAGCCCGGGCAGAAACAAGGTCTATCCAGGCCACCGTGCAAGTCCTGCCAGAATTAGCGTGTTGTTTGCACAGTGGCGGATCCGGTGCCACGACGAGAGCAGCGGGGCCGGAGGGCCATGCGGAGCCGTGCGGAGCCGCGGGGATCGCTGCCGTCGGAGCGTGCGGCCTCGTGCTTCCCCTCATGGTGGAAAGCAGGAGGAAGGGCCAAATCCGTCCCGCATGGCTGCTCTGTCCTGAGGCGGAATCTCAGGCGGCGATTCCGGGATGACATCGGTGTGGGATCGGGGCGAAGACGCGGCACCGCATGTGCCGGCGCGCGCAGCTCCCGGCGTCCCCGTGGCCGCAGCTGGAGGGCAGAATCACCTCGGCTGAACCGGGAAATAGCGGCGGTCATAAAGGCTGAGGCTGCAGAGAGGGTATCTGGGCTTTGACGCACACGTCTGATTGGGACAGGGACTTTGAGACCAACCTGCTCGTGGGCTTTGGTACAAATTTTATTTTCTTTTTGGGGGCTTTCATGATAAAATAACAGGGAAAAAAAAATACACAGAGCTTGTTGCTGTATGTCTAAACCAGTTCATGCTGCAGCTCCTCTCCGGACAGGGCTGTGCGCGCACGGACAGGGCCCGGCCGCTCCGTGTGTTTCGTCATCTCCCCATCCCAGGGTCCCCACCCCGTGCGTAGCGTCGTTGCTGCTCTTGGTGCCCACGGCCACGTGTGGTGACCATGGGAACGTCACTACTGAGATGCAAGGGGGGAGCAAGAATTTAACGGAGCCATAGACATGCTGTTTTCTCCTCCGTCTTCCTCCCGGTCAGGGGCCGCACGGGGTGCTCACGTCCCCAGCTCGGCTGCCACGTTCGCTCCCGCGCGGCAAAGTGGGGCTTGGAAGCTGCACGGGAAGCCCGTGCGAGGCCACGGGCTGCTCGGCCCGCGCGGCTGCCCCGCGAGCAGGGCCCGGCCGGCCCCCGTGCCCTCTGGAGCAGCAGCCAACATGAATTTCAGCCCAAGCCGCTCTGGACAGCCCGTCAGCGCCCCCGGAGCTGAGTGCCACGGATAATCCCTGCCGGCAGGAGCACCTTCCCAGCGGCGGCGAGAGAGGAAGGGCTGGGATGGGGAGAAGGGAACGCCAGGTCCGCCAAGAGTTGGGGAAGAGTCTTTCTTTTTGCTCAGGTGCCTCCCCGCGGAGCCCCGGAGCGACGCGGCAGCGGGACGGCGGCCCCGGGGAGGCTCAGGGAGCCTCCGGCGGCCGCGGCCTCAGGTGCCGGCGGCGCTGCCGGGCGGCTGCTCAGCGCCGGGCCTCACGTTCTCGTATTTGGGCTCTTCCTCCACCGCCACCCGCGGTGCCTGGGCGCCGGTGTCGCCGAGCGCGGCGGCGCTCCCCCAGCTCCCCGGCGGCTGCGGCGCGAGGAGCGGCTCGGCGGCGGCACTGCTGTCCC